GTGAGCATAGAACAGACCTTCATCAGGCAGGAATGGGCCCAGTTATGGGAAGATGCCTCAAGAAGCACTCTAAGTCCGAATTCAAATCAAAAGAGAGTTTTATTTACTTGGCCAGGGATTGTCACTCACTGCAGAGACAAGATCTGTGGGAGGACAGCAGCTTTCTGGTCCATCGAAGGAGAATATAAGCACAAGAACCACAACTCAGTGACTTGCTTATTGTCATGTAAGCTAGCCAATCATAGACTTAATCACTAAATTAAAACATTAATAAGTGGGACCTGTGGGCTCTAGGCAGGAATGGAATTTACCAATCAGCAAGTGAGAAACTGATGTGACTCCATTTTTTAAAATAAATAAATAACAGCAGCTTCTACCTCAAGGCCTGTCCTAAGGAAGGGGGCGTGACCCTTACCTTGGAAAAACCCACAGAGCACTCTTAAGCACATACCCACCCTGCTAAGTTGTTTGTCTGTAAATAACAGGAGAGGTCTGCAGCACCAGGTGTCCCTGACTCAGTTAGGCTAGGTGAGGACCCATAGCAATCCCCCTAGCAACCTCCAATCAGCATGAGACAGGGAAAATACCTGGAATGCCAGATGACCCCCAAGTAGTTTATGGTGGTTGATATGTTGGGAAACCATGTAGTTTAGCATGCCTCTTGGCCTAAACCAATCAGTTCAAACAAATCCCCCTATTGTACTAACCAATCACACCTACCCAACTTGTTCCCGCCATTGAATGTGCTAATCAATGTTAAGAGTTGTTGTTTGATTTTCCCGCGGTATGGAATGATTTGCTGTGTGATGTTGTGACTCATAGAGTATTCCCCCCAAACCTATAAAATCTCACTGAACAAAGGACCAGGACTCACTCCCTGGTATCGCTGCATCAAGAATGGTTGTGAGTCCAGGCTCAAGCTTGCAATAAAGACTCTGTGTGATTGCATCGGATTCGGCTCCTGGAGGTCTATTGGGGGTCCCACGAATCTGGCATAACACAAGCAAGCGATAAAACAGAAGCAAAAAAAAAAAAAAAAAGCATTAGCTTTGCAGTTCAGTTGACCACAGTCCTGGGTTCAAGCAGGTGTTAGACAGTCGCATCCTGAATTTGGGTCAGGGTTGGTTGGGGGCGGGGGGTGAGAATCTACTTCAAAGTCATGTAGACCAACAAGGGCATTCAAACCCAGGACATAGCTCACTAGGACCACCTCTGCATCCTGAGTAGGGTACAATTTGTGGGGTACAAAGTACAGAAAGATAATTTTTTTATAAGAAAATAGCTTTCATTTCAGTTTCTCAGAAACAGCTCTTTTAACAGTTTTTAAAATAAAGAATGCAGCAAAATGGAGTCTTAGGCCTGTCTATGACAGTTCTTGCTTTATAATTGTCTTATCTCATTTATCAAAATCTTATATCTATAATCTATATCTTTTGTTAATCTATAACCTATAACTTACACTCTTATTGATTGTATTTATCAGATCACACTACAACATCCAGGTAATGGTGTAATCACTTAACCATAAGATATAGGATGTAAGCCCCAGGAAACAAGATCTAAAACACGATAAGGTTTAGATAAGTAGGCCAGTGGTTGTAGATAAGTACAGGCTAACAGGCTAACATGGTATGAATAAGGTTAAGTCAATGTAGCCATAGTAACCCCTCTATGAACTTGTTATGTAAGCATTTTTTAAGATTAATTAATTTTTAATTAATTAAAATTAAATTAATTAAAATTTTAAAAATTGTTTGTTTGTACTTCATGTGCTTGCCCACCAATGTACCAGGATGTATGCCCACAAATGTGGTCAAACCCAGCATGTGGTTGTCTGTTTTTATTTTGTTAACTGCTTTCTTAGCCCCTGTATTCGGCTTGCTTGCAACTTGCAGAGTCCATAGGATGTGGTTTTCTTCCTTAAATACTCTGGCCACAGACAGCATGAGGTTGTTCTCCCTTAGGGTCCCTTGGACTCTGTGAGGGACAGTCTTTGGCCAGATAATAAAAATTCTTAAATTGGCTTTTAATTTGGACTTCAGAGTGTTTTCTGAGCAGGCACCCCATAACATTCTTGAGTTTGTTTCCAACATCAGTTCAAGAAGAAGAACCTGTGATTCAGTGCGTGGTACTAAAAGTGAAGAAATGAGTTCATCATCTGTCACGAACAGCCTGGACCGCATTTACGTATGTAATTAATTTTACGCTTCATCAAAGCACTATCTTTATTTGCCACCTTTTTCCAGTAGTCTAAGAGCAGCATGTGTACCCACCTGCAGTGCATGGCACCTGGGAACGTAAATGAACAGCACTTTTAAGATCTGGACACTCACTTGAAATCATATACTATCAACCAGGACACTGGGGATTGGTACAAACTATTCTGGACTGATAGATTGGCTCACACAGGCTTTCTGCTTACTGGAGAATATCCAGTTCATTCATAAGTCTAACTGATCCACAAGTGCTGGAGATACCCACTGAACAAGGCAAGTGTGATGAGCTTTCATTTCTTAGTGCTGAGTGGGAGGTATGGGCAGAAACCATTGTGCTATGAACTAAAGGGAAATGCTGTAGGCCATCCAGAAGGCCAGATCACTCTGCTCAGTACTGAAGCTACCTTGAATAGATGATATTTGAGTTCCTGAAGTCTTATCTATCCCCAAACTGAGTCTCAAAAGAACTAAAGAGAGCTCAGTTGTTGTAAATCCCTTGGCTAAGAAAGGAACCAGAAAAGACCAGAGTCTCCTTGTTGTAGAGCTGAGATTTTCTGAGAAACAGGCAGCTTGAAGACAACCCCTTCTTCAAACCCTGAATCTTATGGTCAATTCAGAAAGATTTCAGACCTGCTACTCAGAGTATTAGGAATGAGTTTATTGAAGGAATAGGGGAAGAGGACACTTAAGGAAAAGAGTGGATACTCTCAGAGAGGAGGACAGCATGCCTCTCCTGCACTCCAGTTTTACTGGGAATCTCAGAGAAGTTTCCAGAGAGTCCTGCCCAGGACCACCTCTTGGCTTTTGGCTGATAGCAGCATGATATCAGGTTGTCAAGTACCCACTGCCATGGCAACTCTAGGTCATCTTGGCCCATGCTGACCAGTTTTAATTGGAGTCTTAACCTACATTCTTACATATTATATTATTGGGAAAAATTATCCCCAGCTTCCTGAGTTTCAGGATCTGGTCACAAGAGTCTCCTGGGTTTCTCCCATTGGCGTTGGGGCTGCATTTTCTCCTGCAGATTAGTTTGCTGAGGAATGTGACCTGTCCTGTCTACTTAGGCCAGACCAGGCTGCAGGTAAAGTGCTTCTTGGAAAAGAAAGCATGTGGGGATCAGCACAATGTTTTATAGAATTATTGTCTTAATCTCATGTTCCCATATTTGCATCTATCTGTCCACAAACATCACTAGAGACTAGGAGTCAATACTGCCTAAGTATAAAACTATCATAGCTCCCATCTATCCTGTGGACCCTTTTATCCTCCCTAAAATTATTCATTTTCCCTAAAGTGTCCTGTCCTTCTTCCCTTTCCCCTCCCTTATCAGACAGGAAAAAGTTGGCCCACTTTATGCATATTTTCACTTTCATGGTTCAGTTACCTGTGGTCAACTATAGTCTAAAAATATCAAAATAGAAAATTCCAGATAAACAGTTCTTGAGTTTTAAATTGTATGATAGTCTTACCAAAATGCTGGAATCTCTTACTGTTCTACTCTGTCCTGCTGGGAATATGAGTCACCCCTGTGATGTATCCACATAGTGTAGGCTGCCGGCCCTGTACTTAGTTAATTGATCCAGCGTGGTGGTATTGGAGTGCTTGTGTTTATGTAACCTTTTGTTTTGTTTTGTTTTTTACTTAATAATGGCCCCCAAAGTGTAAGAGTAGTGCTTCTGGCACTTCAGATGTGCCAAAAAAGAAGCCATAAATGAAAAGATGAAAGTTCTCAGCTTAATCAGAGAAGGGAAAAAAATCTTGTTGAGGTTGCTGAGCTATATGGTAAGAACAAATCCGTCTCTAAAATTGTGAAGAAGGAAAAAGAAACTCATGCTAATTTTGCTGTTGCACCTCATACTACAAAAATTACTGCCACAGTGCAGGATATGTGCTTAGTTAAGATGGAAAAGTGGTTGCGTTTTAGGTGAAGGACATGCACAGAAAACATGTTCCTGTTGATAGCAACAGGTTGCACCCAAAAGCACCGCGTCTGGCTTCACCTCACAATGTGGGAGTGTTTCATCTCAACATCATTAGAAAGGTAAGTTCAGAACAATGAGATAGTCTAAGAGGGGAAAGAAAAAGAAGAGAGATACCACATTCATATCACTTTTATTACAGTATATTTCATAATTATTTTATTAGTAATTAATGTTAATAACTTAATTACCTAATTTATGAATTAAATGTTATCATAAATATGTTTGGATAGGTAAAACATTCTTTATCTTGACATGGTGACATTTGGGTCTGATATTTATGAAGGTCTAGGAGTAGGTTTATTGTTCCCTTTGGAAGATAAAACCCTTATTTGACCCCTGCCTCCACTTGGAGATAAGGATGATGGGAAGACATGGTGATGAATGTGACCCTAGCTCTGTATAGATTATAAAAGTATGGATATTTGTGAGGAAGGGAAAAGGGGGAAAAAGGGAGAAAATGTTTCTGTGTCACATCAGGAAGAATATGGAAAAAACTTTTAAAATAAATTAGTAGATTCCCATGTTCAATTTTGGAACAAACTGGACATTTTAATTACCTTGAAAATGAATTTGTAGAGAACAGCTCTTCCTAACTACAACTGGTACAGTAAAATCATAACTAACTTAAAATCAGCTGGGCAAAGAAATTGACCGATTTAAAAAGTATTACTATGGTTTTTACTAATTTGTTCTCCAAGTTCCCTTCTTGCTAGGCAAAAAGGGAATAGTGGGAACCTCTTAAAATTGCTAGCTAATGTTTGTCGATTTCTTCAAACCAATCTTTTTGTTGTCATTACTGTTTTTGGTTTTTTTTTTTTTTTTTTTTTGTACTGGGGACCAAACCCAGGGGCACCTTACCACTGAACTACATTCCCAGCCTTTTTATTTTCCATTTTGAGACATGGTCTTGCTAAGTTGCTGAGGGCCTCCCTAAGTTGCTGAGACTGGCTTTGAACTTGCAGTCCTCTGCCTCAGCCTCTTGAGCTGTGGGATTACAGGTATGTGCTACTGTACCCAGCCTCTTTAGACAGTCTTGTTTCAGGTAATTTTGAAGTTCCACTTCCTATTAGGCTTTTTTCTCTCTGTTCCCTTTCTCTAAGAAGGGGCATGATTGAGATGTCTGGCATCCCTGGCCCTGTCATTGACTGCTCTTCTGAGGCTGCTGGTTTGATCTGGTGCTTTGGCCTGTGCTCATTAATGAAGTTTCTACTAATGTACTCATACCCATCATTGCCTGGTGGTTGGCCCTGGCTAATTTAGTCTTGCTTCAGGAGTTGTGTCCTGGGCCCCCTGCAGTGGGCTTTCCCTTCCAGTTGGTTCACTGGCAGGTAGTCCACCTGAGACTTTCAGCTTCTGGCTCACTTTGCTTCATCTCAGCAATCTCTCTGGCAAAAACACTAGCTAGATCATCACCTGCCTCCTCATCTCTTGAGCAGTAGTAAGCAGCAGCTTCTGCATCTCTTCTAAGCTACATGTGTGGGGAGGAAGGTTCTAAAGTGCAGTTACAAGTATTTTTTTTTTTTTTTGTACAGTGAGCCACCTGAAAATTCGGTGTAAAAACAATCATTATGCTTATGTAGTTTATGCATCAGGAATTTGGACAAGGCATAGAGAAGAGAGTTTTTCCTTGCTGCAAGACAGGTGGTATCTCTTCTGGAAGGCTTGCTAGTTTGCATCTAGAATCATTTGGAGTCATCTTCCCTGGAATATCTGCTGGTGCCTGCAGGCTTTGGCTGGAGCTTGGTTGGCTGTGGGCTGGAAGGCCTCCTTGTAGACCTTCCCTTGGCTTCCCTGTGTGACCTCCTTTGAGCCTTGCAGCATGAGAGCTGGGTTCTAAGAGCAGGTGTCACAGAGCAAGGAGGAAATGTTTGGCATTAACTAACCTCAGAAGTCACACAGCATTTTACTAGTTGAGACGGTTACAGATGTCCATCTGGGACCACATCTGGAATAAGACCCAAGGTCCATACCTAGCCTACAGGGCGCTACTGACCTGCCTTTCCCTTCCTCACCAGTCTGCCTCCACCTTCCAGAACTCTCTCCCTCTCTCACTTATCTATATTTGTGTTGACCTCCTGGATGGTTCCACAGCATCCACAAGCACCCTCCTGCTTCCAGAAACTTGTGGCTCTCTTTGCTGGGCTAGGATTTCCCGAGAGAATCATAGTATGCATCCTATTTTGAGTCTCTTATTCATGAACCTTTCCTGACTGAATTATTAGAAAATGCACTCAGTATTTTCCTTTACTCTAATTTTTTTCCTCAGCACTTACTACCTGATTCTGCTTTTAGTTGGTCTCCTTGGTACTTAACACATGCATGCATGCTCACATGCATACACACATACACATTCACTACTCTTGATGGTGTTATATCCAAATAAATCCATCAGAAATTGAGTGTATCCTAAGCTGAAAATGTGTTTGATGCTCCTAACTTGCCAAACGTCATAGCTTAGCAACACGACCCTCCAAGTCCCGTTGTCTGCCTGAGGATCCTGAGGCTAACTGGGCACTCCAGCACAGTGATGCCTCCCAGCTTCTCAAGAGATTAACCTACCATGTTTCACTAGCCTGGAGAAAGGTCAGAAAATTAGAAGTATAGTTTCTGCTGAATGTGTATGGATTTTGCATATTTTTCATAAAGTCAAAATTTTTAAATGGGATCACTATATGTTGGTACCATTTATATATGTATATATGTAATGTGTAGTAAAGAACCTGATCTTATCCAGAGAGATGTAGTCTCTAATGCCCTGCAATGTCATGCTTGATCAGGCTATCTTTGAGGGCCTTGGCCCAGACAGACAGTAATGATGTGATTGATAGTGGGGGCTTTGGGCAACTTTTTGCTGGCTTGACCTTCAAAGGGGCTGGAAACTAGCATCAGTCTGGTGAGCAGTCCATCGTGCTTACCTCTGCCCCTACTGTGATGAAGCCCATTAAAGACACTGGACTCAGTTTCAGATGGCTTTCCTGGTTGGCAGTATTCTGCATATGTTGTCGCACACCGATGCCAGGGAAGTATTGCTGTCCATGACACCACAGGAAAAGTGCAACACAGATTCCACACTTAGTTTTCCTAGATTCTGCTCTATAAAACTTCTAACCTTGGCAGATTTCAATTTGTAATCTTTTGCCCATAATAAACCATAACCATGAATGTAGTTTCCCATGAGTTCTATGACTCCATCAAGTGAATATTCAAACAGAACCCTGTGAACTTGCAGTTGTGTCAAGAGGGAGGCAGGCTTATGTGGTCTGTGTTCACCAACTGCAGTTCCTCGACTCACAGAATATGTATATTTATGTATGTATTTTGTTTTTCTTCCCAGTTACAATTCCAAGTAACTAGAATAATTTGTAATGTGTACTAGTCATCTATTGTAGTGAAGAAATGAATGGAATTAATGGAAAAGTACAGAAATTAAGAGGAAATCTGTGAAATCCAACCCTGTAGGATCATGTTAAGAAAGCCTCCAAGAGATGCATAACCAAGTTCTCCTTTATTATATTCTGAAAAATTCTGTCTTCAGAATGAGTTGCCTCTGACAGTCACAACTTTTGGAAGTTTGGAAGATTATGTGTTTTTATTATTCAAGAGGTGTAGGAATTATGTTTGCAGTTTGTAATGTCGCCACCAGATGGTGACATTTTTATTAGGTAGCAAGTTGTTTTTATCCTCAGATACATCAATTTATGGAGAAAAGAGATAAGCTATCCAAAGTACTTCCTAATAAGAGCAACTATGTGATCATATTTTACAAGAGTAAGAGATCGGAATATATCTATCACAAGATATCAGTAAGGGTAGTTCCTGTGCCAGGAACACGTTTTGATCATTAGAATCACTCTAAGGAGTAAACAAGCCTGAGCAGACTGTGTAGTGAACTTCCCTCTCCACTGTCCATGTGGGTCTGGAGGAGCCACATGTGCTTGCTCACAGATCTGCCTGGTCTTTCTTGCAGACCCAGCCGCTGTTGGTTTAGGGGTCGAGGTGTCACAGCTTAGCCTTATGCTGTGATGAGCAGGTTTCTTTGGGCTACATCATCCCAGTACTGCTGCAGTACAGCAGAATTTTGAAATGTGCCTCTTGTGTCATTCAGTACCAAGGGCTGTTCAGGGTATATCCTAGTGGGTTTCGTTTTATCAGTCCCCAGCTGTGTTCTTCTCCAGTGAAAAGAACGTGGAAGACAGCAGGGAAGTGGGTGCTGTCTTCTAGCCCAGTTCCTCTGCTCTTCTGACCTGATTTCTATCGTCTTTCCATTCATTGTGCCCAGTTAAAAGGGGTTTGTTTGCATTCTTTACTGTCTCTTCAGTTTTATTATGATCCTGTTTCTAATTTCCTTGTTGCCCAAAACTGCATTTTTAAGTAGCAGTATCATATACCTCTTCTTTAGAAAATGATATGTCTACATTTATCAGTCTGTCTTTTAAGCATTATTGGAATATTCCATTAACCTTTATTTTTAAAAGACATTTGATGTTAATGATTGATAACATTAGACTGATTTGACATTTGTCATTGTGTTAAAATTTGAGGTATGCCTTATTTAAGACTTGATTGCAAACATTACTAATGGCATTGCATTTGCTTCCCAAATTTAGATAACAAGATATTGAGTAGTTATGTAAAACATGGAGAAAGTCCACTGAGATCATCATTTTGAAAATTATTTTTTCTTGGTGGCAAAAAAATGCCTTCTGAAAATGAAGTCATCTGAAAGCCCATTTGAATCAGTTTGGGATTTCAGTTGGTATAATTAAATCACCAAAACAAGCTGCTCCAGGGAACAATTCACTCAATCTATAAGTTAATAAATGAGGTGTAAGTGAGGTGGGCCACAAAAATGTCATTTCAGTAATTTTGGGAAGTAAGTATTTAAGTGACATATTTAATATCTGCATACAGAAGAGAAGGATAAAGCAGTTTGAGGAAAAATCACTTCATAATGTTTGAAATATACATCATAATAAACTGACAAAGGAGATTTTGCAACTTAATGTATTTTGAAATTAATCTTGAAAAGTCTACCTTAAAGTCATTTAATAGAACATATTTTGAATCATTTCTTTGGGAGAACATATCTTTGGGGAAGAAAGAAAACAGTGCTTCAACTTAAAGTAATATTTGAAATAAAACTGTGCTTCAAGAATGTCTAAGTAATTCACCCAACTTGCACCTTAGGGACACTTTGTTTTAGACTTAGAGGGTTTCCCTCTACTTTATCCTGCACCTCTTAGGACTTAATCTGGAAGTTTTCCCAAAAAAATTCCATTCAAATAAACCAGACAGTTCAGGATGAAGTGTACAATTACAGCCTTGTTGAAGCTTGGATCTTAAAAATTCAGGTAGTAGGGTCTTGTCCCAAGGAAGGTGCTGTTGGGAGGAAAGGGTGACTCTGTAGGGTCTGGTGGAGGGCCTTGGGTGGTTGGGACATGCCCTTGAAGGGGAGTGTGGGATGGGTCCTTCCTCTGTCCCTTGCGCCCTGGCTCACCCTGACCTGAGTGGCTTTGCCACATGCTGCTACCATGATGTGCTGCCCAGCACATCTTTAAATACAATTGGGCCAACCAGTCATGGACTGGAGTCCCTGAAATTGTGAGCCAAATAGACCTTTTCTCTCTGTAAGTTGATTATGTCAGGTATGTATTATAGTAAAGGAAAGCTAACACAAACTTTTACAATAATATTTGAATTAGAGACTACCTTGAATTACACCTGTAACATACGACATACTAGTTTTATAGGCTAGCTGTTACATTTGAGAGAGAGAGAAAAATAAGAACCAGCATTTATAGAAATGAAAGAAACAACTATTTATAAACTAGAGACATGCGTATTTCCAAGATGGAAGCTAATTTGCTTTTAAACACAAGAATGTATTTCCTAGACACAGGTGTAAAGATAACACAGTAATTGGAATAAGCTTGCTTTGCTAACCACATTTAGGCAAGGCTCTTCAAATATAACTTGAAGTTTTGCTACATTGCTTCCATTGTCAAAATGCCTCTTTCCCCCTTTCTGTGAAGGCCAACACTGGGTGTAGAAACATGTGCGTGGGATCAGTATATGCACATGACAAACACAGGCAAACACATTAGTAAACTAGGCCAGGATTTGACTTAGAAAAGATTTTTTTAGAAATCAGATAAGACAGGAAATCATTTAATTACCACAGTGTGTGATCTTAGGTAGCACATAAGATGCACTCAGTGTCTTCACTGGTTCCAGTTCCTCACACTGAGCATAATCAACTAGTAGAGCAGTGAAGCTCACACCCACGGGAGATGGCAGGACCTCAGCCCTGGAAGGAGGGCTGGTGCGCAGTGTATGGTGGCAAGGTCCCCTCTGCCTGTTAGAGAAGGCCCATTGCTAAGTCCCCTTGCCTTCCTCCTCCCTCTTCCTGTAAGCTTGATTGAGCAGCTGGATTTCCTCCTGGTAGCCCTCCCTTTCCTGGTGCTGCCTCTTGCTGTTCTGTCTGTGAGCTTCCACAGTGTCTGGAATGGAGATGTTGATGTCTCCGTCGGGATTGCTGGTGGGTAAAAAAAGGGAGTAGGAAGCCGACTCCCCTAGATCACATGAAACAAATCTGTTCTCTTTCCGTGAGTAGCGCAGCGACGGGGATCTGACTTGGGTGGAGGACTGGCTGATGTTGCTGATGATTGACACAGTGTCCAGGGCCTCCTCATTGTCGCAAATTTCAAGAACCTCGAGGTGTATTTTCACACTGGTGTCCGCAAATGTGGAGTGAGACTCCTCTGAGTTTGGTTCATGGCCAACGCTTTTAGATCGATAGACTTCTATTTTCTTAGAGGCCGGGGTTATTTTTTGCCCTTCTGCGCTTACCTCGTATGTAGAAAGAGAGAGGGTTTTCCCCGTAGGTGCCTGGAGAGATACCGTCCCCTGGAATGCACACAAGGGAATGGCGAGCCCACCACCAGCACGCTGCGGACAGAAACAACATGTTGTTATGGAAAATGAGTCTCTGAGAGTGGCATATTTACAAATTCATTTTATGCATCAGAATAGTAAAATTTTTCTCTTTCAGAACCATTTCCCTAGAAACTGTTTATAGATGTAGGAATCATGTCACAAAAGTACCAAGCTCAGTTTCTCCAAGTTCAAATACAGCCTCTAAATGAGCACAGTCAGGAACCTTTCTTTGAAGATAAGAAGCATATTTCCACAGTTGAAGGCAAAATGAATGTACTGATGGGAAGGAATAGACGTTTCTAAGCGAAGAATTTGGGCATAAAATTGAATGCATATTTACAATATGGAGTTGCTTTTATATGTTTGTTACATATTCATTTACATTTAAAAGTTTGCATAGGTTGAAAGAAATGCCAACTGCATTATCAGCCTGTACTTTTTTTCTAATTAGTATGCCTGAGAGAATGATAATTGTACAATGGTGACTCAATTAAGTACAAAAGCTATTTCAACTTTTTGGTTTGAACATTCCTAAGAGGAACTAAATGTCATCAGAACTATGCTGCAGTGGCTTTCTTTCCAGAGAAACCACAGTCATTAAAGTAACCCAACAATGGAAAACCCCTCTACATCACTGCAAAATCTTTCATAGAAGTTTAAACCTTCTCTATTATACTTTGTATATTGTTATTTTTCAAACCATACTCACCACTGAGATATGCTTAAGAAAGGAGAAGAAAATTAATTCTTGTGAAAGTCTGTGCTTCATATTGCTAATTCATCCCTTTATACTTTCAACTGACCCTTTTTTTCCTGCATGTTAATTAGTCTCACAAGCAGATGGCAATATGCAAAATTTCCCTGTGCAATGGTTCTCAAAACCGAGTCCCTAGACCATCATCATCACCATCATCTGATAACTTGTAAGAAATGCAAGTGTTAAAGCTGAATGCTAGACTTCCTAAATTAAGACACTCTGAACACAGGGTCTAGCAGTCTGTTTTAACAAGCCCTCTGGGTGATGCAGTTCCCTAGTAAAGTTTGAGATACATTGCTCTAACTACAGAAATGTCACAGTTCAGTAAAAGAAGGGTGTGTTGGTCTGACATTCTATACATGTGCTTACTACCCCAAAGGCCTGGATTTACCTAACTGTTTCTGTCTACCAGGGGAATTGATAGGTAGCTACTGGTGTTTTACCTATTTGGGATGGCCAGCCTTCCCAATTTCCCTAGGACTGTTATAGCATTGAAATTTCTGCATTTCCAGAAATCCCTCAGTCTTTGGCAAATTGTTGTTGGGCGGTGGAGAGTGGGAGCTTGGTTACCTGTTTTCCATGGACATTTTGTATCTAGACCCAAGAAGAGTGACTGGAGGAAGCACAGGATCAGGTCCCACTTTTGGAGAGCAGCTTGGGTTCTCTTCTGTTCAGAGAAGTCTGTATGACAAAGTGTACCACAAACTTCTTGGGTGCTTTTACACTGTGCTCGTTCAGTGAATTTCGGGACTATGAAGAATGCATTCTGGTATGTGTATGGCATGTCTCCAGATTTTCCTAGTTACTCCCTGTGGAGAAGTTTTGAATTCCATTTATCTATAAATGGACCTGGGAACCTGATTTCAGGGCCTTGTACTCCAAGGGGCCAAAAACTTTAACAGCATATTCTATAAAGTTCAGTTTGGCCTTCTGCCGAGGCCGAGGACTTCATCAGCTCCACTGAATGATGTGGCTGAAGCTGGAAACAACACTGAGTTTCACAGCTGTACATAGTGGTGTTTGGTGGCAGCTTTTGGCAAAGAGAAAATGGCCTCCATGTTTATTAATCTATTCATTGAACATTTGCTAATTGTTATATGCCAGAATCTTAGCAAGCATTGGGAGTGCAGAGATCCCACAGATGGTTGAACAAGTAAGACATGTCAAGATAAAACATTTTTAGCTTTAGGTGTAGTAACTGAGTTACAAACCAAGTTCTATGGGATCCAAAGAATGATTACCTCTGATGGAGAGATTAAATGTAGGGGTGGCACTTGAAATTGACCTTAAGAATTAAAAGATTTGTAGTTTTAAAAGCCAGCCAGCCAGCGAGCCTGCCTGCCTGCCTGCCTATCTGCTTCCTTCCAATACAAAATGTAACAGGATATTGAGCCATTTTAGCTTATTTACATACATGTTACACTTCTGGCTGACTATGAAGAAGAATTTACAGCATCACATTGTGAAGCTAGTTTACATATATCCTTTTAAAATGACATAAACATCAGTGTTACCGTCCTTAGTATCAGACTTTACAGGCCTTGATTTCTGAGTGACATCTCATAAGTTGAAGGACTATCCTAAAAAATGTCCCAAAACACTTTTGTTATCAAAGACAGAAACTACTGTATTATTTTTTAAATCAAACTTGAATGAAACATTACTCAATCAGAAAATCCAACTGTCATGTAGTAAAACTTATAAATACAGCTTTCTTTCTTTATTCTGAGAGTAAATCTGAAAACTGAACTCCCTTACATGACACTTGGTTATGAGAAAAAAAAATCTACCTCAGTGCTTCATAAATAATTTCTAATATTTTTTACATGATGTGATACATTATGTAAACAAAGTGCTATGGACTATACTAGCTTAAGACAAAAATATGCTACAGAAACTTAGTTACTAGGCAGTCCTCAGTGGTTTAGACATGTCTGTCTAGGGAGAATTTTCACTAGATCATTTACCATGTAATCACTTACCATGTTCTTATGTGTACCAACTTGTACCACCGATAAGCCATTAATATAAACCAAATGATATGATGAATTTCTGTGCATCTGATTTTATATTTCCACATAATGCACTTTGCAATAACTCCCCCAAGATAACCTTCCCTTCAAAGGAATAAACCAACCTCACTAAGGTAGCAAATGACAGCTCATTAAAATTGGCATTTCAGAATTGCATAGAGCCGGGGTTTGGTTAAGTATAAAGCCTGATTTTCCTGAAATAACACACAAAGACCTAAGTTATTAAAATCATTCTGAAGCATTCTCAATCAAATGGATGGTCTCCATTTAAAAGACATAGGGGCAAGAACACAAAGACGACAACAAAACAGCAGCCTGGTTAAAAATGTGCAAAAAACTTTCATAGATAACTTCTCTAAAGAAGATCTACAAATGGCCAAGAAGCATAGAGAAAATGCTCAACATCACTTCTTACTAGGAAAATGCAAATGAAGACTGCAGTGTGATACCACATGGCACCTGTTGGTCTGACTGTTATTTTAAAAAATAAACAATAAATGAGGAGGATGTGTAGAAATTGAAACTCTTGCACACTGTTGATAGGAATGTAAAATGTGGTAATTGCTACAGAAAACAGAATATAAGTTCCTCAAAAAGTTGAAAATTGGAATTATCGCATGATCTGGCAATTCCACTTCTGGGAATATACTGCAAAAGAATTTAAAATGGTCTTAAAGGAATATATGCACACTGATGTTCATGGCTACATTATCTGCAATAGCTAATGTGGGAGCCATCTAAGTGTCCACTTGTTGATGGGTGGTTAAGGAAAATATGATATATACATATAATGGGATATAATTCAGGATTAGAAAGGAAATTCTGCCATATATTACAGCATGGATGAACCTCAAAGACATTATACTAAGTGAAATAAGCCTATCGTGGGAAAATAAATACTGTATGATTCCAGTTCTATGAGGTAATTAGAATAGTCAAAATGTAAAGATAGGAAGTAAAATAATAGATTCTAGGGACTGGGGAGAAAGAGTAATGGCAGAAGAGGCAGGGGGTAATTGTTTAATGCACATAGAGTTTTAGTTTCACTAAATGAACAGAGTACTAGAGATAGATGGTGATGGTCATGGCATCGTTATATAAATATACTTAGTACCACGGAACTATACATTTAAAATTGATTAAGATAGTAAATTTTACGTGTATTTTACCACAATTCAAAAATTAGGGGGAAAATTAGAGACAGATTATATAGAAACAGATATGAGCATCCATTTATACTATTAATCCAAAATTGGCAACTTAATTTCAGCAAAACAGTATTACCTGTCATTTTAAGCCAATTTATTAATTACAATCATGCTGGGGTGTAAATATTTAATGTATAAATTTGCTTTGGTTATAGAGTTCATAAACAGTTACTCCATGTGATTCATGCCGCAATATACCCATGCTGAGTTATTATGAAAATATTGGAGAAAAAGTTCCTTAACCTGGATAGATCAAGGGATAAGAAAATCCAGGAAACTTCCTATGTCATGACTCAGTTTTTACAGATGAGTAGAAATATCTGATATAAATGCTTTTGTGTAACATTCTTCTAGAGGTCCTAGCTGGGCAAAAATCAAGAAAAAGAAATAAGGAGCATAAATGTTGAGTAGAAAAAGACAAGAATATCTTACAGACGAAATAATTTACAGATGAAAATATTGTAGAAAATTCTAGAGAAGCAAATCCAAAAAAGAACTCATTAGGGAGTTTAGTAAGGTGACTGAGTGCTAGATAAATAAACATAGCTTTTGCCAACAAAAAGCATATTTTAAGTTGGTCCTATTCAGAAATAACAAAGCTATAAAAGTGTGTGACACTTTATGAAGAAAACACTACAATAATGAGAAATCCAGAAGAAATAAGAAACAATGTTTTCTCATCAGAAAACTATATTTAGATACAAAAATTTGATTGAAATAAATTTTAATCAAAAATCCCAAAGAAATTTTATTTTGGAACTTAAAAAATTCTGCTTAAGAATTATTTGCTGGAATAAATATGCTTGCAAATAACCAAGAAAATTGGAAGCAGACTAATGAGGTGGATTTCCAAATAGAAAATGAAGTTATAGTAGCTAATAGAGGGTGTTAATGGCAAGATTTGATAAATATGTAAAAGAGGCTAGACAGTCAGGAAGCTAGTTTAGTATATAATGAAAACGGCAGTTCAACGTATGTGGGGTAATTGTCCTTTAAACAACAAACCCCAAAATC